CTTCCCTCCCCACCCCACGTCACTCACAGTCCGGTCAGAGGGATGAGCTGGAGTGGCGTCTAGGACAGGAGCGAGGCGTGGAGCCCCAGAGCCAGAGCCAGGGTGGGGGCCAGGCCCAGAGCAGGGGAGCCACGGGACCCACTAGGTACCACAGGCCCCTGGCTTTAAGAGCAGAGGTCAGTGCCTCCTCCATCTCCCTTCCACCACCAGTACGGGCCTTCTTTTAAATCTGGACACTTGTTTTTTTTTTGTTTTTTTTTTGACCTGGACGCTGTTTTCATACAGTCACCAGCTGATTAGGAGAAAGATCTGGTCGGTTTCTTCAGTGTAGAGCAAGAAAGCTTTTGCTTAACAGAGCGAACAGATACTCCAAAAAGAAACTCCAGCGTTCTGACTCATGCACAGGATTGAGATTTGGGATGCACCAATCCAACGTTTTCTCTTTTTTTCTAATCCATGATTATATTCCAAGTTATCTGCTGATGCAAGTCTAGAATCTTTATACTTTATGGAAAGTAAAATGAAGCCACACTGAATTTTGATGCTGTTTTAACCCTGAGCAGATTCTGGATTTTTTTTTCTGCTCCTGTCACATTTTAACTCACTGTGGGCTCATTTTTTTTTGCAATTTGAAGTCCTGAACCTCTATAGAAACAGCACAACCATGGCTAGAAGCAGCTCAAAACTGTATTTTGTGCAGTACTGCAAAGTTATACTGCCAAAAATCATACAAAAGAAAAGTAGAATTCCTTAAATCAAGGTATAAAGTATCCACAGTTGTAATCAATACTGAAAAAAAATAGTGACTCCAACGACTATAGATATTTTACTACTTCTGTTTTGAATTTGCTTCCACATTATCTCCTATCTGCTCAATGTAAACACTTCCTGCTGTTCAGCCAAAAACTCCTTGAATTTTTGTCATGTGACTGTTGGTCTCAGCTGTGTCACCAATGGCTTCACGGTTGTGTCCAGGAGTGCAGAATGTTTTGTTTTTTTACAGAATCTGCTCAGTATAAATGCCTTATTTTTGGCAATTTTTGAGCTGTGTAGCGTTAAGTGATTTTGATTGAAAAAAATACAACAATTTAAAGCTTAAATTTAGTTCATTTTTCCAACATGCAACAGATGAGTAGTTTGATCTGATGGTTCTTTCTTTGGTTCCAGTTTGAAAATTGGTGTAATTTTAAGATTTAAAAAAAAGAAAAACAGTATGTATTTTATATCTGCTGGCAGGTTTTGGGATTGAGAGAGTTCATGCAAATCTTGCTAGTAAGCTGAACACTGGAGATTTTCTGTGCATCCAGCTGAATAAAGGAATCAAACAATATTAACAGTTATTCCAATCGCATGCAGTTGTGACACATAAAAAGGCTGGGGTTTGTTCTGGGGTTCATTTTTGGAGTAGACTCAAGTTGCTCAATAGTGAAGCAATCGACTGCAGGTGCAGGTCAAATGTAAAGAGAGACAAAAAATAAAGAAAACAGAATGACGTATGTTTTTAAATTTCAATTATGAAAATTCTTCTTGGTGCCTGAGTAGTTTCTGAGCACAATGCACCACGAATTTCTGCTGATTTTAAACGAGATCGGTTGTGATCAGAAGGCCACTCAGTCCAGCATGTCTAGTGACACTCCAGCCACGGTCACTTTTTTTAAAAACACAAATTCACTTCATCCACTTACACACTAAAATCCACTCCCACAGCTACTGATTGCTGTTTATTTTAATTTTCATTTATATCTCCTTTGGTTTAACATTTTCTTATTGTTTTTTTTTTTTTTTTTTAAATTTGTGTCATTCCCCCCCTAAATATTGTGTGATTGATTTAAGTAGCTACACAAGTTTGAGCTCATGTGTTGTCAGTTGTATGTTTTGTTGTTAGAAGTGTATCTGCAGGTCGTTCCTTCTGAAACAGCGTGAAGCAGCGGCCCCGTGCAGCTGCAGTACGTTGACTAGCGAGGCTCGTGTGCTTTCAGTGCATCCCGGCCGATTCTGCACACTCTGATCGCGACACTTTCGTGACTCGACTCAGCAGATTCAATGCATGCTTACACAGGAGCGTCACAATGCACGATGAGAATCAAAGAGCGCAATCAAAGAGGCTACCGGCACACACATCATCTCAGATCCCTTAAATCCCTTCAGTGACTCGGCTCTTTAATAAACCGGCCGTGTAATCGCAGGACACCGTGATTCATAATCGCCGCCTCATGCTCGTGTTCATAGAGAAATTTGCCGGCCGTTACGTAACGCAGAAGCACTGGCAGCGGCTAAGTGACACATAACTATTACAGTTACAGTTCTGGCGTGGATTTTTCTTTTTGTCCCCGTGCTTTCTGCCGCAGTGTAATCTGTGAGGTGAAATGAATGAATGGGAGGAGATGAGGGGGGGAGAAAGCGGCTCGGATATGGCAGGATTAGCGCCGCACTGTCGGCCTGTGTGATTTGCATTTGACATTGGGCTGACAGGGAGGTGAGCCAGGGTCAGTACACACTGAGCAGCTCAACTTACTGTTGGAGGGGAACACTGAAGTAGCGCACAGGGAAAGAAATCGCATTAGGAACCGGCTGCAATTTTCCAAATTGTCGGAGTCTGCAAGACACGAGTTGAAGATGAATCATCACATTCAAACCATAAACATGAGCATCTCATTTCCCTATGAGCATTTTTTTTCCACCTGTAGTGAAACACACACACACACAGTTGCTGTATTTGGCATTTTAGAGATTTGGATGTTTTTGCAAAGTGAAGATTTGAGAATGGTTCCTGTCTTAACATACTGCATTGTGCTCCTCACAGTTCTCTGTTCTGCTCAACCGAAAGCAACTTTTTGCTCATTTAGAAAAGGGAGTTAATTAAATAGTCGGATCTGAACATAAAGCTTTAATGCTGCCAGAGTTAAAAAAAAAAAAAAAAAGAAGTGCAGCATTAAATTATAATAATTTCTGGAGATGTAGCAGAAGAAGCTGCAAAAGGTTTTTACTTGTTTTTTTTTTTTTTAAATCTTCCTCAGTGACTTTTTGTTTTTGCAGTGGATATTGAAGAAGAATAATGTGGCCCAGAAATCCCCTGTTTGCCTCTCAGCTTGTAGCTTTAGCAACAGAATGAGCGTGAGGAGATGCCAATAATGTGTGGAGTGTGTTGAGTGACTGTCTGCTGTTGTGGGTTCAGCTCCGGGACACGCCTGCCTCTGACATCCAGTTTCGTCTGGATCACGAGCGAAGGATGAGAACGGCGACGGAGGAACGGGAGGCCGTCGCTTCTCTGCCGCAGGTACAATACATGCAGCCTGAGCACCTTCGGATTAGGAGCATTTACATAAAACCTGCAGTATCACACTTCAGCTGCTCTCTTTGCTGACATATGAACATCTTTTTTTTTTTAATTACGTGTCACCACTGGAGAGGAAAGAAAGTTTCAGCTTTAATATTCTGAACTGTATTTCTTGTAGATTAGAAGTGACACCATACTGTCTTCAGTGTGATGTGCAGTTTCTTTAAAATGCTTTTTTTTTGTACTTTGCGACATGCAAATCTGAATTCATAGAAGTAAGAATGAATTTATGTATATAAGAAAAAAGTAAAAGTGCTGCTATATGTTACATATCATGCAGTAAGATTTAGAGCTGGAACAGTTTGTTAATTAAGTCATTTTTAAAGCTAAAATCAATCAATCAATATCCTTTATTTAACCTGGTTAAAAACTCATTGAGATTTAAAACCTCTTTTTCAAGAGTGACCTGACCAAGACGGCAGCACAAATGCCGTAAAGATTTATATTTATGCATCTCAAATGTTAATATTTGCTAAATCTCTTAGCTATCTGATGTTAAACTAATTATCTTTAAGATTGGAACATCTCAACTTTGGCTTTTATGAATTCTAATGAATGTTTTCGACTATTTTTGGATCAAAAACTGTTAATTTCTGACACTGTGACATATCAAACCTATAGACGTAGATTCAAACTGTGACCTGAACCACAAAACTGCACAAACATATTTGAATATCTGACAGCTTCAGCTCTTTACTGACTGTGTGAACCAACGTTTCTGTGCAGCAGGAGGACGAGCGTTTGCGTCTGGAGGCCCAGCGTGAAGGTCTGGAGCTGCAAGGCCTCCAGAGCCACGAGGTGCCGTGGCCTCAGGAGAGAGCGGCGCTGCAGCAGGAGGTCCGACTCTTCAGACGAAACACCATCATCTTCTACATGAAGCTCAGGTGGATCCTCATGCACTGGAGGCTCGGCCGCAAAGACGACTCCGGGGAGGAGACGGCGCATCCAGAGGTGAGTCAGGCTGTCTTTGATGGAAGTTTAGACACTTATTTATATGTTTATTTTATAAATCAGCATGTTGAACACATCCCTGTTCCTCATTGTTTATTGTGCAAACTCTTTTAAAGAATCTTTTTATCTAGGATCACCTGGTGGAGTGACAGAACTGATTTTATGTCCATACAGTGATCAGATACTCGTCACTGTGATGAAGCTTAAATGTCAAAACCTGCATTACAATTGCTGATGTACTTTTTTTATTGGTTTACATTCCATATTTGTTGATTCCAATCTCAAGCAGGTTTTACCAGCTTTAAATAAAGAAGAACCCACGGGCCTCTCTTTATGTATTTACAATCACATCAAAATGAATATGACATTGTCACCTTATCTGGATGAATCTACTTTTTAAATCAACGACTGATGCAGAAGCGTCTCAGTAAGGCCGGATCACCTGGTGAAATCTGAGTGGTGAAAATTAAGTGTTTCTATATTCGTCCATTAAGATGTGATTTAGACAAAACACACTGATGAGATACGATAGAATGACAACCTCTGCCGGATGTATGCTTAAAAAAAGAAAAGATAAACAGAAAATCTGGCAGCAAGAGCACCTAAAAACATATCAAACCTGCAAAAACTGTGAAGATAATGGCAAATATCTAATTTAAATATTGTGAAACTGTGCAGTTATATGTTTGCATATATACAGATTTTGTATGTGGATATTATTTACATTTATTTCTTACAGGCAACATGTAAATTCATACTTTTTTTCTGTGATTTTTTTCTAGTTATTATGAAATAACAGTTAAAATATATTCACCATTTTTCAGTACTTCAAAAGTTAAATTAACAGTCTGGAAATAACTTTAAAAAACCATCCTTCTATATAGTTCAGGAGCCTCCAAACCAAGCTTTGAGTTGGTCATTAGGAATGAAACGGTGAAAATGACAACAAACCAGTGACTCATCCTGAATCTTTTTTCCAGTTCTTCACCACTTTGAGGTGTTCTGTCCCCACAAAGACCAGTCAGCTGATTAATCCAGCTGTTGTTCGACTTGTCGGTTCAAACTATCGACTTTGTGTTTTTCCTTGTTGTGTTCTCTCGTTGGTTACATTTGTTTTAAATTTGTTCGGTTCTTGTTTTTTTGCTGGTTTCGTTTTGTTTTTCTCTAATCTCTCTGATTACTGAGCAGTGAACTCTTTTTTCCTTGAATTTTCTGTCGCTGGAGATCCAGTTTCAATAATTCCAGCTCTTCTCTCACAGCTCACACGATTCATCCACTTCCTTCTGTTTATACGCAACAAGCTGCTTTTATGGTTGTCATAAACACAGCGCCTTGCTTTTTGGTACAATATTAATCAGTGACAGCGACTTACAAAAGAGAAAACATCTGTTTATGCCACATTGATCTTGGATCGAGTGCTTTTTCTATAATTCTCGACTGTAGTTTCAACTAAATTGAATTTCGGAGTCCTGACTCATCGGTTTATTCCAGCAGCGCCCTGCTCTGAAACCTAATTTGTGCTTACAGACGGTGCAGCACCGAGGAGCCTTTTTCTGGATGTTTATCATCCTCCTGCTTGACTTGACCTTGAATCCCTGCAGAACCTTCAACTGTCAAGTTTATTTAATCGTCTTTACAAAAGGCTGTGCAGTTCTCACATTTGTGAAATGAAAGGATGCCTTTCAGGGGTTTTTTTCAAAGCAGATAAAAAGAAGAAAGTCTGTGCAGGTTCAGGAGGGCACGCTCTTGTAGACTTCTGGAAACCTTGCTGCACTTTTTCCGTAAATCTGTGATTGTGTTGGCTTTGTTGGAGGAATTTACCATATTTCTCTGATGCTAAACATGATGGCAGCGGAAATCTGAGCTGATCAAAACCTGCACTACAAACGAAAATGCTGCCAAGAAGAAACAGTTCCTCCTTTGCAGGACACCCCGTATAAAGAGAACAATTAAGATCCAGCTAATAGATTAAATTAGGATTTAAACAGCTGCAAATAAAGCCAAAAAGTTAGCATTAAGCTATCAGTTATTCCAATTGGAGCACATAAATAAGGCATATAGGACTAGCTAACCTAACGAAAGCCAAATAGATCAAAGGATCCAAGTAGTGGAGAAAAGGATTTTTCCCAATCTGGAGTTTTGTGAATCTTCAGACGACGTAGATCTGGTGAATGAGCGAGTTTCCCTCTAATGAAGCAGAGATACGAGATCATACAGGATGTTTTCCTAGAAGTGCTTTATAGATCTACTGTAAGAAGCACGTCTAACTGGGCCAACTCATTTACTAATCACATTCTTGACTCTCAGAACGCTGCGATAAGAAACATCTGAAGCGTCAAGTTCTGCATCTGCTGCTTCATTATACGAGGACATCATCATGTTTGTCATTTCAGAGTTGAGGAAGGACTGCGATTTCACACCAGAAAACTTTGACAACAATTTCCTTCTGTGTCAACCTTTGCTTTGTCAAAGACGTGCTACTTGAGCGTATCTCTTTGAAGACATGAAACGTAGGATGATCCCGGAGGTCCCTGCACTGCTACCGGCCTCTTATCTGTTATTAAATCACAACCTGCTGCCATTTTTCAAAGTGTATCGAGTGCAGCGGATTCAGTGAGGAGGGCCTTCTGGTACCGCTATGGGTAAAATATATGTAAGCATCGGGGTGCTTCACTTCTGTTGCATCAGATTTGGTCGAGCTGCAGTCGAGAATTTTTAGAACAGGTTCAATAACATCGATATCACTGACTCACGGCTGGTATTTACTCCACTCAGGACCAGCCTGCAAAGGATCAGGGAAGAACAAACTTGTAGACTTTTTATTTTTGAAACTTTGCTGCACTGTTTCCAGAAGTCTGTGACAGTGCTGAGCTTTGTTGGTGGAATTAGCATATTTTTGTGATTCTGAACACGGCAGTGGAGGGAATCTTAAATAATCTAATAAATAAAAATGCTGCCGAGAAGAAGCCTTTTTACATGAGATCCTACATGAACAGACAACTAAAAGAAACAATAAATGATGGGAGGATTTACGCAACTAGAAATAAAACATACAAGTTTGTATTGAACCATCATTAAATCAATTTTAAGCACATTAGACTTAGATTTAGATCAACTTTATTGATCCACAAGGGAAATTGTTTTATCACAGTAGCACAAAATAAATACTTATATAAGAATATTCAAAAAATGAAATAAAAATAAGCAGAAAAAAAAGAATACAAAGATTTTCATATGTACAATTTAATGGGTTTTTTTTGCTGTTGTTGTTGTTTGTTTTTTGCCATGTAAAGAAAGACAATAAAATAAGTAATAATAATAAAATAATAGAATAAAGTAAAATCAAATACAAATAAAAATAAATACTACTGCAACGCAAAAATATGAGTGGAGACGTTATCTGATGCAGAGCGGTGAGCTGTTGTACAAATGAATGGAGAACGGTATCAATGAAGTCCTGTAGCGTTCACTGTGAGAGCAGAGCTGGACGAGTCTGTTGGAAAAAGAGCTCCACTGTCCCTCTATAGTCCAGCGTAGTGGGTGTAGTGGACTGTCCATGATGAAGAGCATCTTGTCCATAAATATGGGATCACGGCCTTGTCAACCTGACAAAAGCAAACGAAATCAGCTGATCCAGAGTGGACGAAGGCCTTTTGACCAGGCTGAGCTGGTTTCACTCATTCCTGATTAGGAACGCACGCTTTCGTAGACTTTTGTCAAACCTTTCTGCACTTTTTCCAGAACTCTGTGATGCTAGACATGATTGCAGAGGGAATCAGGGATCATATAAACATGCATTACACACAACAAGAAGCTGCCAAGAAGAAGTGATTCATCCTCAAATACACAGGTCAATTAAAATCCAACGAATGAATGACGTTGGGATTTACACAACTGAAGAATAAACCTAAAAATGTGCATGATTAAATCCATCATGAGCACATCCATATGGGATGCTGGCCAGTTAACCGAACAAAAGCCAAAGAAATGGAGGGATCTAGAATAGAAAAAGAGCTTCTTTTGTTTTTTACCAAGTTGAGCAGGTTTGACTCATTCGTCATTACGATCAGGCCGACACGCTCTCGCAGACTTTTTGAAACCTTGCTGCACTTTTTCCAGAAGTCTTTGATTGTTCTGAACTACCTTGTTTTTCTGATGCTCAACACGACTTGCAGAGGGAATCTGAAATTATACAAACATGCACTACAAACAAAGAAGCTGCCAAGAATGAGCAGCTCACCCTCCTTTTGCGCGAGGCCTTGTGTACACAGGACAATTAAAATCCAACTGATAAATGACATTCAGATTTACAGAACCACAAATAAAACCTGATGATAAAAAGATGACAATAAAAGCTGGCATTATAAACATCAACAAAATCACATTTAAGCGCATAAATATGGGATGAGGGCCAGTAATTGGCAGTTTTCATGAGGTGAAAGTAATAAGTTTTTCTTTTGCCTGGTGATAAGAATAAAGAGACTTATTGTAATTCAAAACTCAGCTCAGTGTTGTTCTCACAGATGTGGAGCTGTAACCGATTTAGGGATGCTTTTCTTATTTATTCTTTTTTTCTTTTAATAGTTTAAGGGACGCGGTGTCAATTTACAAACAATTAAATCAATTTTATACAACCTAACTGTGAGTCATTTATTCCAAAGTGCCCTAAAACTGAACACATGTGGCTGCAGATGCCCACAGGCCTGAACGTGAACCAGACAGGTTGTGTTTGTGATGGAAGGTACAACACCAGAGACTCGCTCATCCACGGCGTCCCTCCGCCTTCTGCCCGTTGCATGCTGGGAAAGCCTCAGTAACTGCGAGCCTCAAACAGAATGTGTTGGTGCATAAAAACAACAACAACAACAACAACAGAAACTGAGTGCATGAATTGAAACAGGGCTTTTCATGGCTCTATCATCTGTTCCAGTTTGAGAAGTTGGAGGGCTTCCCAGAGCTGGGAGTGATAATGGAGCAGGCGGAGGGGGAGTCGGACGACAGACTGTGTTTACCGCAAACTCCGGGCGACGTCACCGACACCGGGCCCGTCATCCCGCTGCCCTCACCGGACCGACACCTGCAGCATCAGAGACAGGTACGGCGCAATGTAGACGGTCTTCACTGCCTTTTTAAGTTCATCAATCATCATCAGAAAAGATTTATACCAACCTGAGCCCATGAACCAGTTCCTAAGCTTTCCAACAATTTTATATCGGCTTATTTCCTCACACTGGATTGTCAGACAACTGTTTCTACTAAGAATACTAAGATAAACAAACCTAGATATGTGACTGTCATAATATAAGTAATACTGATCATTTTCTGGTCTAGGAAAATCCCATCATTTCTTATCTACCAGTTTCTGCATACAATCATCTATACATTTATTATCCTGCATGGCTGCAAGGAGGCCAATAGAATTAGATTATGAACTAAGGGGATTCTGCACAATCTTTAAACATTACATTTGGATAATTAAAAAATAAATTGGCCAATCCAGTGCCACTGAGTGTGCAGGTCCCCCCTGGCGGGGCATCAGTCCACACCAGGGCTCTCACTCATTTAAACACTTCCCTCCCCAGTCTGAATTAGAAAACGTCAAATCCAGTAAGATCCTACTTCTGGTAGGATATAGGTACACTTAATAGAGTTGCACAATTGTGTTTGCTCAGAGGCCCCTGCGCTTGCCAACGTATCCTCGGGTAAGACACAAAACCCCAATTTGTTCTGGATAACAGGCAAACACCTTGCAGTGTGTGTCAATGGATAAAAGAGAAATACATCGCTCAGGCTAAAAGCTGCTACATGAGTCCATTTACTATTTCCATTCCAGAGAAAGCAACAGTGTAGAGATACATCTAAGCCATTTAAAGCAATATTTTCATGGGGAAAACTTTACATAACTTTTATACATGGCATTTTTAGAGGTTTATTGAACGACTGGAGAGGAAGTTCAGGCTTCTCACACTCACAAGACGTTTGGTGGTTCAGATGCATCATTTCTTGGCCGCCAGTTTCTACATAAATTAATCCTTACATTTAAAATTCAGCACAGCTGCAGGGAGGCCCATGAATTTAGGTTGCGCTGCCAACTGCAGGCGTCTCTCCAAATTCAAAAAGAATGCACATTAAATATAAATAATTTTTAAAAATCTGGCTAATCCCTGGGTATGTGGGTCCCCTTGGCTGTGCAGTAACTCACACCAGGTTACTTCACCAGGCTTTTACTGACTCAAGTTTAGGTGAAGTATAAAACAGCAGATCAAGCAGCTGTGTGCTTTTAGTTCAAGAGTGTAGAAGTTGAAATTTGTAAAGTTTTAAAAATAGCTTTGGGGTCTTCAGACATCCCAGGATCTGGATTCTTTAACATGTAAATCTTCAAAATATTTGACTCAAGTTCTTTTCAGTTTTTCGTTAACAAGGTACAGATTTATTGTCAAAACCAGTTATGCTGCAGACACAAACTGTACAAATATGACTTTAAAAACGTGCAATTAAAATAGTATAAAAATAGGTAAAGTGCCATTCAATATACACTGTAAAAAGATTCAGTAAAAAAACAAAAAAAATTGAAAATCTGGCAGCTGAGGCGGCAGAAAAAAATACAATACAAAAATGGTTGAATCCTGTTAAATTCAAAAACCATAAAAAATAACGACAAATGTCTGTAAAATTGTAAATTAATATTTTTAGTTGGGATTTTAGAAGGAATTTAACAAAACTGAAAAAACTAAATCTGTAGAATAACTGTGAAATAGTACAAAATAGTAATAATTTGTAGTAAACATCATTTAAAGGTAAAATATTGTTAAAGAACCAATTAATATAGAAAAAATAAATAAATACAGACTCTAGATGTGGACACTGTTTACAGTTTTGGTGTGATTGTGATGTAAATAAATACTTGTTTTCTGTGATTTTTCTGAACATAATTTGCAATTTAACAAGTAAAATCTGTAAAAGAATATTTAATAATTATTTACCTTTTTTAAAAAAATCCTTAATATACATAATTCTTTCAAATAAATAGTATTGATAAAATAATGTTATTTTTGGCTCATTTAAATACAGTAAATATAACAACAACAACAACAACAACAATATCAAATATTGTGCAAGAAATAATTACAATTCGTAAAAATACAGATTTTTGATGTGGATGTTATTTACAGTTTTTATCTGGTGTTTCTTAGTGTAACGGAACACTTTTTCGTTATCTTATTAACTGTACTTTGGCAAAACAGAGGAAATCTGTAAAATAACAGCAAATTGTTCAGAAAAATCCATGTTTAAAACCTTCATTTTGTACAGTGTACCTAGATAGAAAAAAAACTTCAGTAATTGCAACAACAAAAAAAAGCTTGTACTATAATTACAACAGGAAATTGTGGTTTCTTAGTAAATTGGTGTATTAAGTGAGTTTGGACACGTACTGCAGCTCCAGCCTTTATTATTAAGATCCGATCCTTTTCGTTGTGCACAAATGAATGTTTGGCAGCAACTCCTTCGAGCTGTTTGGCACCGTATGCAGATGGGAATATTGACCCACATAACTGGTTCGAGGCAGCAATTATTATGAGTACGCCCAGTTTTATGCTAAAAAACACACGGAGGCTCAGTTTCATGCGAAGGAGTCAAAAGCAGCAGCGTTTTTTCGGTTCCCGTGCAGCCATAGCGTGTGTTGAAATCCGCTTCAGTCGACCACTTTGCCCCTCTTTTAAAGTAAAGAAAGCACATAAGCATTTTGGGTGGGATGCATTATTAAGCTGCCCTAAGTGCTCGACTTTGTCTTGTGTTTTGATTTTTCCCCAACATCATAAAAATGGTTTGTACAGTGATCTGACACTGGTACTTTACTCTGTGAGCAGTTTTCCAGCTCGCCCAGTAGACTAACTGAAGCTTTATACATGAGAGCAGAAATGCCGACTTGCTTTCGTAAGCGTTCGCACACATGGCTACTACAGCGGAGTGAGTGTAGATAATACGTCCTGCAGCCAGAGCGAGATAATAATATATTAAGCTGTAAAGAGGTCATTCAAAGTTTTCAGCAAGACTTGGAAGAATTTAGGCAGATGTCAGGCTGGTGAGGGAGAAATCCAGATTTATTCCTCCTGAATCTGCGAAAGGCTAAAACTGCTTAAGTCTATACATATAAAAGTAGCCTAAATGCTGTAGATGAGATATTTTCTTGCAGTGATTAGGAACTTTTATCACAAAACTTTTCTTCCGTGCAACAGTTTAAAGACCGTCTTTGGTAAAAATCAAGGTTTTTTGCCTTGTTAACATGTACAAATGGTGTTTTTTGATGTGCGAGAAGACAAATCATGAGCAAAATAAGCAACCATTCCCGAACCTTGCAGCATACTGATGACAATCTCAAACATGCAGAGGCAGACTTCCAGGGTTTCTTACATAATAAGCCTAAGGCAGCCGTCAACTTGCAGGGTTGGGCTTTCTGTATGTATCTGTAATGGAAGTGTCCAAATTCTCCACATAGTGACACTCATCTGTGCAATTGAGCAATTTTTGGAAAGCAGATCCCTGTTTTCTTTATTATCTTGTGCTCTACTGTTACCTGTTCGAGGGTACACATTGCTGTCGACGCCTTTACACTTTTTAACAGACAGAAGAATCAGAAAGTTGCTCCAGAAAAAGGCAGGAAAGAATAAGACCTTGCTGTGACTAGTCTGACTTAACAAATGTAGACTTCGGGTATACGGCTGCCATTTTGAACATTCACATGCTTTTCTCGTCTCTTTTTCTCTTATGCAAATGTTCCACCAAATCAGCTTCTCCATCACTGTTTTAGTTGATTAAAAGGAATACAAACAATAAAAAGCTGTTTTTTCCCCTTATAGGAATAACAATGATGTGCAAACAGATCATTCTCCAGTGCTGACAAAATATACAAAACCGAGGCTTTGCAGTTGTTGTAAACGCAAAGAAGGGCATTCAGCACATTTATTAAACCACAAAATGTGTTTTAGTGAGAATGTACATATTACTTTATTAGTAATAAACTCTACACAGTCCCTTTTTCTTAATGTCGAGCGAACAAGCTACATCACTGAAAACAAACTGGTGGCTGGAAGGCCGAGTTGGATTTTTTCATTTTTCTTTAAAGTGAGCTTCAATCTTTGGGGATTTTCATTGTGATCGAAGCTGCCCTCATTAAAAGTAATTCTAGCGAGCTTCAGCTGTTTCTTGGCCATAATTACGCCGGACCAGTGCGCTCTTACCTTTTAGCGCCTGAGCTCGTAGCGTGTTCTCGGCCTTGCTGACCCCTGGGCGCTGCGGTGACACTTCGAGGTGATCACGGATTCCTCTTTTTTTTTTTTTTTGCTTCACTGCTTTCTGCCAAGACCTGCAGACTCTCCGCAGCGGGACCACCAGGAGCAGACAGGAAAACCTGCTGTTCTTTTCCCTTCGCTCCACTGGATGTCACTGCTCATGTAGCCCGAAGCCTTAAAATACCAAATCCACATCTTAGATGATGAAAGTTTCTCTTGCAGCTTTAATTACTGCATTACCGAGAAGCTCCAAAGGAATTTTTAATTATCTTTTCAGCGATCGAACCCGGATATGACGAGGTCAAGCTCGTATCTACATGCGGATATGTGATGTATGCATATTTCAAGGAAGAGGTCAAGAGAGGGGCAAGGGTAAAAGAGCAAGATAGGAAACAGGATGGAGACGGTCAAGTGAAATTGATTTATAAAGCACTTACAAAGCAAGTTCATCCCAGAGTGCTTTAAAGAGAGGTAAAGGACACGGGCAGATAAAAACGAGAGACAAGCCCATCGCAGTTTTCCCGATAAGGAGAGAACTTGCTGAACTTGCTGTGTACACATGCGAGTCAGAGCGTGTTGACTTGACATTTTCCCAAATGTGTGTTTTACGCTGATTGTTTTCGTCTGAATCCTCAGTTCGGCGAGAACCGGCGAGTGCTGCAGGCCCTGCGGACGCTGCTGGAGGAGTTTCGAGAGGAGCTGCGGGAGGAGGAGTCGCGGCGATGCCAACTGCAGCAGTCCTACGCCAATGACAAAGCCGCCTGGGAGGTCAAGTGGGCAGAGATGAAGTGCCAGGTTGCTCAGGTACAGATGGCATCTCAGCGCCCACTTTTAAAGGGACAGGACGCAATCTGGCGCTTTCAGTAAGCAGCGAGACGACAGCGAACATGTTGCCTCTGAAATCACACTCGGGGCAAACCGGTAACAAGGAGACAAACAAATCTTGCAGTTTTTTGACCTCTAGTCGTAGCTCCAGCAGGGAAATGAATAATAGCCCTGCACCGCGTCTTAATCCACATCACATCTGACAAACAAATGGACACAGTTCAATCCGTAATCAGCCTTCAGTTAAATTAAAAGAGGAAGAACGGCATCCAAGAAAAGAATGATGAATCACTTGCTTGGCAATGCATAATGCTGATAGTCTGTCATCTTGTAAACTAATTATTACAGCGTTGTGCCTGATTGCTGGATGTGCCCGTCTCAGGACAGCTTGTGTGATCTTAATGGGAGCGTAAATACTTTGTAGATTAGGAGCAACTCTTCTGATACGATTACAAGAGAGCTGATGGTTGTTCTGCAGAAAGGCGGCTGATTGTTGATTTTGGTGTCAGCATCAGAAATATTAAAGTTTGTCCTCCTGGCAGCGATTTTACCCCCAAACTGTTGTTTTAAAACACCACTTAGAGCATTGTGGGACATTAAAACTCTGCCCTGACAGCCAGGAAATATATAGCTTTAATATACTCAGACTAAACAAACAAAAGGAGGACTGAGCTGAACAGAGTCCAGGAAGGCAAGTTTGAGAAACAGATCTGGAGGCTGATCAGAAAACACCTGTGAAAAGAGTGTCTCCGTTTAAATGACATGATGGCATCCTTTGCCAGCAGCCACAGTGGTTGTGTTTGAAATCATCCACTCACTCCCTGCTCACTATATCGGGATATAGTGAACCATGTAGGGAGCACCTCAGCAAACTAACATTTCAAACATGACTCGAGCTATTAATGACGTCACTCGCTAGCCGCTATTTGTAACAGCGTAGTGCAAACACATCATATTCACAGTTTATTGCATCGCCAGCAAACAGGTGAAATAAAATTCAACAAAACATAAACCGGACATTACTTACATTCTAATGACAAGCTTTCTTGTTCGTCTCATTTCCTTTCACGCAATGCATGATGATCCATATTGCTTGGTTAGGGACCATCGGCTGTACACGACTTTTCACAGTGCATTGTGGGATATTTGAGTGCACTATATAGGGTGTAACATTTGTAACGTAACATTCAGACAGCGCTACAAAATAGGGAACACCCTATATAGTGCGCTATATAGGGTGTAGTGGGTGATTTAGGACACAGCCAGTGTCTTTTTGAGCTGAGGAACCATACAGTAGAAGAATCTGCAATGTGTAATAACATTCACTACATCATTTGATTTTTTCTCAAATGAGCATTGCGGCAACTTCATTTTAAAGACTTTCGGCAACTTAATGATTCACTTTAATCCAAATGGAAAATGTAAAGCACCAGTGCGTCATTTGACTTTTGTTCCTTCCTTTTCTTTACTCTGTAATCCAAGTTGAAGGAAACACTGGCTGAGTTGCAGCAGAAAAGTTCTGAAGGGACTCACGATGCTAAAGGAGCAGTAATCATTTTCACCCTTTTGTTATAATTAGAATCCCAATTTAAAGTCACAAAGTGTTATTTCAAGTTATTTGAATCCACAAAAAGCCTCCACAAAGCAGACAGATAAGTGAC